CAATTTAATATTAGTTATGTTTTCACAAGGGTTGTTAAAGTTATTATTAATTATAATTACCATTATTATCATCCTTGTGTAACCCCAGTGAAAGGAAGCATAAAGGGGAGGCTTCCCTTGTCGAGGCCCCATACCCTTTGGACTGGTGAATGCCTTTTTCATTTATGATTTGATTAAATGGAAACCTGTTGAAAAATTTAGTATTAGTTACAAAAGCTGTTGTGCCTATATGTTCCCTAATATTTCGCCCATCTCATTAGGAGCATTTTTGGAAGTATGAATAAAAGCCTCATTGCCAGAACCATTACATCTACAAACGTTTATGTTGTTAGTCTACCTAATCCCAGGATGTTATCTCAAAGTCAAACCCAAGGATGGTCAGACGTATACCTATTGTAGAAATAAAAAGAAAGTAATCAAAACCCAATCTACAGAATGGCAATAAGCCAAAATTAAAAATTTGGGATACATTTTTGCATATATGTGTATATGTATCTATGTATTGAACGAAAGAGCTCCTCCACAGTTTGGACCACCAAATGTACAATATCTGCAATCATCGTCCAAACCTATTGTCGAAATATTAAAAATCTAACAAAACCCTAATTATTTGACCTCAAATAAACTAAGAATCTGTAATAAATAGCTGAAATTGATCCCCATGTTGCAACACGAAACCCACGCTACCTAAGAAAAAGTCCTTTATTCCTGAAAATATCTAAGAAACGGTAGACAAAACTTACCAATCAGTATATGGAAACACATTTCACCCACTAAAATCAAAATCAAATAAGGATTGGGGCTAAATATCTTCATGTACCCCCGGACATGTATAAGCGTTGTCTCCATGCTGCAATCCTTCTAGAAAATGATGAACGGAAATCTTCTTCGCTAAAAACTGGAATAACTTCCCAGTGGGGATAATCCTTTAGTTCATCAATTTCCCACCAGCACTTTAAAAAAGTTATTCATTAGATTATTCAACATGGAAATCCTTTTGTAGTCATGGTTTTCTATAAAGCAACCAAAGCCCTTCATGATAGGACAAAAAAGCGAATTTTTAAACTCAAAAACAAAAAAAAAACAATTTTCAATTTCAAACGAACAGTCGCAGGGGCAGTCGGATGTTCCCTACCAGAAGAGGTCAATTGCAGAACTGTAGACGAAAGCTTTTGGAGAGGGAATAGCGCGTATTTTGAAAGCAGTTGTACACCTTGATATAAAACAATCCCTTTTTTTGTCATAAAAGTTGTACAAATAAAGATGATTTAGCCTTAACTGTGCATGCCTTTATCTAATATAGAGTATGGTTTCAGCGAAATTGTTTTCAAAATTCTTCAGATGAAAATAAGTAGGTCCCTAATAACCTAACCTAAAACTTCAGATGTCAAATTTTCAATTCCATTGTTTTTTTGGGACTCAACTATAAGATTATGCCAATAAAGTGTCCAGTTTCACTAAACATAAGTCCCTTCCGCTGTACTTTGTGCCAAACCTATAATTAACGATATTAAACTAACCCCAAAACCGCAACGGGCCCCCCGCTTGTAAAAACATCACAACACACGTTAGAGCGTCCAAGGCCTTTACTTGGCTCTCTTCCCCCATTTAAACATCGACACAACAACCATCCACGAACCCTTTTTTTAAATAACAAGGCATAAGACGCCCATTCATCCTTAAACAAATCTAAAAACTACCCCAAGAAAAGGCATGAAAACTTTAAGAATTAGCATCCTTTTAAATGTTTAAATGTTAATTATACTTTATTTCTTCTCATTCTAATTTCAGACGATGGTTTTGGCCGTTGTTATTACTCCTAATATCGTTATGTCAAACCACATGGTCCATACAATTCACCCCTTTGGATGTAACAACGGGGGTTGATAGTACAGATTGTGCCCTAGTCTTAGACTCCCTCGGGACAAGTGACGCTTACGATTACACTTATAATTTGCTGAGAGGAACCCCGCTGTGAGTACCTATTCCCTAAACACGTTTAGGAACCCATTGATAAGCAATATCAAAACTAAACATTTTTTACAGTAACTACAACAACCCCCGGACATGTATAACGTACGGGGCTGTTAATGCAGCCTATCTTGATGCCAGAAAAAGAATTCGTACGTAAACAACAAAATATTACATTATAACATAATAATTTTTTTATATTGTTTTTCAAATAGATGTGGCCCAACCCCTGGGTGACTGGGCACCAGAACAATTGGCAACCGTAGGGGAACTACTCCTGGATATTTCCACCAATTTGGCGAGGACGTAAGTTTCCCGATAATTCCATTGTGTACTGTACATCAACTTTATTTATACATCTCTTATGTCTAATATTGTACAGGTACGGACTCAGTTACGAGGATATAGAAAAGAAACTACCCCTAATCGACACCTCCAAGACCCTAATTCGTGACGTGTGCCCCGCCTATTTATCCAACGTTGAATGTAGACCAGGAAAATACAGAAGATTCGATGGTCTTTGTAATAATCTGCAGCACCCCACGTGGGGTGCCACAAACACCCCATTTACTAGGTAAACTAATATATTTCACCATAACAAGGCCCGTTTGCCCTCAAAAAGATAATGACGTAATCAATGATGATTTTCAGACTAATAGGTCCATTATTTGCCGATGGTATGTCTGCACCCCGTATAAGTGTAACAGGTGGTCAACTACCCCTGTCTCGCGTGGTTTCACGCACAATGCATCCCGACGAGGGTTACCACGACCACGCGGGTACCGTCATGGTCATTGCCTGGGGACAATTCATGGATCACGACTTCACATTAACCGGAACCCCTTTGGGTAATTATTTCATCTCATTATTACCAATTTAGGCTTCACTTATTAATTGCAGACCCCTTGAACCGAAACGACCCGGAAGAATGCTGTAATAGGCCTTATCATCTCAAGAACCCCTATTGTAACGAGATCCCCATACCTGAAGACGATTACTTTTACAGACTATTCAATGTCAAGTGTTTAGATTTTGTAAGAGCTTTGCCAGCTGTAAGACCAGGGTGCAGATTAGGTAAAGTCCCTACGGGTTGATTATAATCGAATGTGACCCTCTAAAGAAAAAGAGATTTTACAGGTTCGAGGACACCATTTAACACCCTTACAGGAGTCATTGATGGGAACACAGTCTATGGCATCACCGAAAAGTTTGCAAGGTAATTGTAATAGTGGGAAGATTATTTAATTCCTTAAGGAGGATTATTTGATTCCTTAAAAGCCAAATGTTGCCTTTTTATCCACAGAAAACTACGAACAGGATACGGAGGTTTATTAAGGATGAATCCTTCCTTCAACCAATATGGTTTGAAGGATTTGCTTCCCCTAAAACTGGACATTCCAGACGAGGGCTGTACAAGACCAAATGCAACAATGTACTGCTTTGAAGCGGGTGAGAATTTATTATATTTATTTTCAACGTTTCGTTAATGTGAACATGCATCAAATAACTGCGATTATTTTCAGGGGAAATTCGGGTCAACGAACAACTAATCTTGACCTGCATGCACACGTTAATGGCTAGAGAACACAACAGGATAGCGAAAGGCTTGGCGGAAATTAACCCCCATTGGGACGATGAAATCCTATTCCAAGTAAATAATAATTAATAAAGAAGCATTTATTAAAGAAAAGTCTGTAAAAAACTGAATTTCAGGAAGCCAGAAGGATTGTAATAGCGGAGATACAACATGTTACCTACAACGAATTTTTGCCAATACTTTTGGGCAAAGATGTGATGCAAAAATTTGGACTTCTTTTACAAAAAGATGTAAGAAGTATTTCAATTAATAAAATTTTTGTGTCATTCACCACTTTTAAATTTTGACATAGGGCTATTGGGACGGTTATGATCCCTCTGTAAACCCAGGGATTATCGATGCTTTCTCGGCTGCAGCCTTCAGGTTCGGCCACTCCCTCCTCCCAACGGCTGTAGAAAGATGGAGCAAAGCCCACAAATTTATAGGTACCTACCTCATAATAATCAATGTACACTTTTAATGTTTTATTTCATTAATAGCTTCCAAGCGTTTGTCCGATTTAATTCGAAGACCTTTCGACCTGTACAGGCCAGGAATTCTGGACGAATACTTTATGGGTCTAATGAACCAAGTGGCCCAAGCCATGGACGATTCAATAACCCAAGAGGTCACCAACCACCTGTTCAAAAAAGCTGGAGCGAGGTTCGGCTTGGACCTGGTCAGTTTCAACATGCAAAGGGGAAGAGAGTTTGGAATCCCAGGGTACATGGAGTTTAGGAAGTTCTGCGGCTTGCCAGAAGCGCACAGTTTTGACGACCTTTTCAGCGCCATGCCCAACGAAACCGTTAGGAAATATACCACTATATTTGAGTAAGTTTTCAAAAATACAAAACAAAATCGAATATTAATCATTTTGATTTGTTTTCTGTTACTAGACATCCAAATGACGTAGATCTATGGTCAGGGGGGGTGTCGGAAAGACCTTTGCCGGGGAGTATGCTGGGGCCAACGTTTGCGTGTATCATTGCAACCCAATTGAGTTATTCGAGACGGGGGGACAGATTTTGGTAAGTGTTCTTTCTGACTAAAGAGGTAACTGTTATTAAATCCAGAAAATTTTCTTAAGGTACGAACTGCCCAATCAGCCCTCGTCGTTCACCCCCGAACAGCTCCAAGAAGTACGTAAAACGCGACTGGCTCGACTCATTTGCGATAACACGGACCTCATAGACTCGATTCAGTTGTACCCAATGGTACTCCCCGATCACGAAATGTACGCAAAAGTGTTTCTCCTTAAAGTCCATTGTACTTTTATTATTCCTTCTTTTTAGAAACCCCCGAGTGCCGTGTAAGAGTGGCGTCATGCCCACCATGGACCTTACTAAATGGGCCGATTTCCAAACGGGATCAAATCATTTAAACGCCTTTTCGAACGGTTTTAATTACGACTCTCTATTAGGGAAATAAAAAGGAACATCAGATAAGGATAAAGTTCCCTTTACGTATTAGTCAAACGAAACCTAAGGACAAGATCTTTTTTTCACAAAGCTTAAGTTGCCATCGAAATTAGAACGTACTGTATAACATTTCTCGTCGTTTAATGTCATAACAATTACGTTTCATTTTAAGCACGTATATTGAAGAACTTTTTATCAGTTTTTATTTACCTTTAAGAATTCTACCTCTCATACACTCAGTACATACAGTTCAAATAAATAATTAATAATCATTGTCCTATTTGAAAGCAAACTCGTGTATGTATATATACACAAGCCACAACAAAATCTTTACCTATTAATTAATTAAATAATTAATTATTACTTCATCCCACAATCAGACATTTGTAAATGTAAATAAAAGAATTAATTTATTACTAAGCCTGCATCTTAGTCGTAAAAGTGCATTGTGTGAATGGATAAGAAAATAATAAATGTTTTTTGTATATATTTTTCATTTTTGTAACGTGAATTTCATAAATATAAAAGTTTCACAAGTAGTTGAGAAGTTTTGAATTCAAATTCAAACCCTAACAATACGTAGGCCACCCATCATACACTAAAACTAACTACTACTACCACCTACGCGCCCTCTACAAGCCAGACGCCAAACCAAACTGATACATAAAAAACGAAAGTAACACAAAACGAAATTAAAAAGTCAAATGTAATATTACTACCCTCTCAGAAGTTGTCTTACACGAAAATCCAAATAGGAAAAGTATCTTAATAAATTAAATACCAGCCCTATTTAATCAAAATATAAAAGACAACTTGCAGATAATGACGAAATACAGACGAAGCCACTGCCATTATCATCTTGAATAAATAAACCCCATTGTGCCTTAGTTAAATAACAAAGCAATATTTGAATTAAAAAATACAAATTAATTCGTTTCATTCAAGTATATATTCGAATTACGCAAAGAAAAATTCGAGGCGCCCTCTATTAACTACTAGCTAAACGATAGTTAGAACGTTATAATATGGAAAACCACATTCTTCACAATATTTGTATTTGAAAAACTGAATAATTCCGTAGCAGTAAAAACTCCTACCCATCAAATCATTATTAAAATGTAATAAATTATTTCGTAAAAAAATATAAACCCAATTTCAGGGAAAAAAAATCGAATTCAAAAACGCATGAATTCGCCCGACGGAGACACACATCTTAATCGTACACAAATTTCCTTTTCATTAAAACAAACTAATATTCCACTAACAACGAGGATAAGGATAAAGGCAATGTGTATATGTATATTTAAAAAATTGTTTTGTTTCTTTTATTACTATACAGTCGTACGACTTATGATTTTCCAAAAAGGAATACAGAAATGTTTGCAATACGCACGTAAAAAGCTATGTAAATGAACATGCACAATTTCAGAAACTAAATTCCACGTCCGAACAGAGAAACAACGATTCGGGAATGCCTGAGCTCCCCTGCCAACGGTGTCCCTAATTAGCAATTCGTTGAACACAACCAACACGAATTACACCTTCTCGTCATTTCTTTTTTGTAAACTTACGAATAAGAATGCAAAATTACACCTACATATATAAAAGAAATAATAATTACAATACAAATGAAGTGAATTCAATTACACAATTGTTTTCGTATTATGCTTTTGTTTTGCAGATTACTTTTTACTTAATTAAAGTTACTAATGATAACTAAAAAAATTACAAGGAAGATTCTCCGTCGATATCATTTGTTTTTGTGGTTTTACGTAGTGGCACGCGAAAATATAAGAAGTGATTATACGAGAGACAAACACGAGCGATTTGAATTATCGGCGATCTCTCGAGTCGGAGCGACTTCTCCTGCTCCTGCTGCGAGACCTGGACCTGGGAGACCGAGAACGACGTGGAGAACGTGACCTAAAACATACAATGACTACTGAAGGACAGTGAGATACCAGTGAATACTATACACCACAACCTGAAAAAGTGACTCACCAACAAACAAGAACAAACAAAAAAAAATAAACTAAATTGCTACTACTTACGATACAAAATGCGAAGAACGTAGACCTAGAGACAGAAAACCCAAAACATAGGTCATAGTAAATTATACCAAAAGTATTTACCTTCTCCGCAGCCACACTGATCACCAGGATACAAAATGAAACAACATTTAGAAGGCCTATTAACTACACGTAAACTTTCTCTAGATACAGAAAACTTTTAGCAATACTAAATTTATATTTAAACCTAAGAAAATCTGGAAACTTTTAATGTTATAAAATTTCTTGGTCAAACACTAGGATTAGCAAGTGCAATTCTAACATAACTTCCATAGTCCAATAACTTTTAAATAGGATTTTTTTTTTCATGTCAGTCAGTTGCTTCATTTTGAACCTGGGGGTCATGACTGGGGTTTTATTGGGAGAGCGCGAGATGAAAAATACGGAAGTTTGGCGAAGGAGAGACCAATTTTCGACGTCGTTTTCGTTGATGTGGGAGTGGTAGTAGTAGTAGTAGTTGATGGTGGTGTTGATGATTTAGGTGGGTTGGTATGTTGAACCGATGTGGACGATGCCGGAGAAGCATGGTGGGTGAAGAATTTGATTTTTTCGAAAAAAACCCCGAAGAAAAGCTGACAAATGACGCAGAGTAGCAGCAACAGGTGGCTGAGTAGAGAATTGTAGTAGTAGTAGTAGTAGCAGCAGTAATAAGTGGTTGAAATAACCACCCAATTTTTTGTAGGTGGTGTGTATGACGAGATGTGTAGCCGGGAAGGGTTTGGGGCTCGAACGATGGGGTTGAGAACGAGAGCAGTAACGCTGCCCTGCAATCTATGCCAAACTACATTTACCACCTGTTTCAAATATACTACTTCTTTTGTTTCATATTAAAATAAAATCTCTCAAATTTCTGCTACTATTACGCCAATGTTTTAGAAATAAATCTCGGACAAGAAAACGTCTTTTTACCTTTGACAAAATTAAATGAACCCAAAACTTCTATTAAACTAAATTAATTATTAAAAACTGTATTATTCTTGATAGCCTTAGGACTGATAATTTACTTATAATAACGCTCATTACTTTCTTATCCAGCATGTAAAAAGTTTTAATATTTCCAAAAACCGATATTTTATCCTCAGTTTCAAAACCTCAAATACATTATCTTTTTTTTACAAGCATTAGCCAAAATTAAAAACATTAAAAACCAAATTCAAGAACAGTTATGTTCTCAAAATCACAAAATTACTTGACCAATTTATGAGCTTATTAATGTTTTTATTGGCAAAATTAAACATTGGTACTAGTTGAATATCTGTGCAAATTATGGTTCAAACTCTTTTTTGAAATTTTGATTGTTCAACTAGTACCCCCTAAAACTAACTGACCTGGAATACCTTGGTGGTGGTCTACGACCTCCGCCACGACGTGACCTGCCATTGGACATCTCTACTCGAATCCTGGTACCACAGCAGCGCCTGAAACACAACACAAACAAATTTTTGACTAACACATGACATGAGAGCTACATGAAAACAATTAATACACCTCAATATGCACGGTACTCTTAGTGTAGGTATATAAGCAATGTATTGAAAACATTGTGATGGTAATTACCATATAAAAGAAGAATGAAGAGTTGAGTAGTTGATTAGGTGTCGAAAGTTGTTACATGTGACGAATTTGAAGAAGTTTTTGAAGGTGTTGGTTGACTTACGTTCCATCTAATCCACGAACTGCATCTTCTGCGTCACGAGGATCTTCGAATTCAACAAAGGCGAAGCCTGGAGGATTTCGAGCAACCCACACGTTCCTCAAAGGACCATATTTGCTGAATGCACTTTCTATCTCATGTTTACTGGCTGAAGATCCCAAATTGCCCACGTAGACTTTGCATGCCAAATCCCATTCACGATATCGAGACATCTTCCTGTAATATGTTAAATGCACACTATAACATAAACAACACTATCAGACAAATTCACAAATTTTCTTTGTTCCCACCCTTAACAAAATAGTCAAGTGCTCTAACTTTTACCTGTTGGAGAAGATTACAAGATATTTAACGATAAATGATCAATTAATTCGAACGATTTAAAGGAGAATTACAATAAATAAACATGAAACCTGACTTACACCTTAAATTTTACAAAATGGCGTAAACTATATGCTCCTAACCACTTTCACCTACGAAAACTGTCTACACCAGTAATGGTTGTTAGTCCCGTCACCCATTTCGCAAAGACCATAGATAATAAATCTACAAAGGGTAAGGCAAAGACATACGTCATCAACGGTCAATAAAACCGAATTTGTGTTAAATAAATCAGATTTTATTTTTTCAGGTTGGCCATTGCTATAACCATGCTATAACCTTGAGTTTCAACAAAAGTTTTAAGGTTATATTGTCAAATTTTTGATATTTTTATAAATTAAAGCTAATATTTATATCAATTTAGTAAAAATGACTTCTCCAGGATCTGCAGTGGACTCCTTGAGTGCTGCTATAAAATGTAATATAATACCAAACCAGGAATATTTGCTACAGGGTTCAGTTCTCGACCAGTACGTAGAAGTCCTTCTTCATCGACTCCGTGGTTTGTGCGATAATGTTGATAGTGGCCCCGAATCGTTCAATGATCATGAGCTGTGCTTCACACTGCGTGGTAATACACCTAATTCTTCAATGGTTTTGCCCTTACGTGTGAGAAGAGCCCTAGATGTACCAGACGCCCCCTGGCAACTTCGGTACGTGGGTCAGCACGAATTGGGGGACAAAAACAGACCAACCGCAGTACGTTCTAGTATAGATATGGCCTGCAGTTCTACTATTGTGGAATTTTTAACAGAATTAGGATGTAGAGTGGACTTTGAATACATTGCCCGTGGTTACATGTTTAGAAAAGGCAGGATGAAAATTACTGTGTCCAAAATATTCAAAATGGGCAGTATGGCAAGTAAACCCAACGAGAGCGTCGAGCCTATTTCCCAGAGTTATCTGGTAGAACTATCAGTCCTTGCTCCTTCAGGACAAGATGCTATTGCCGAAGACATGCGTATATTTGCTGAACAACTAAAACCGTTAGTACAGTTGGAAAAAATAGACTACAAAAGACTGGCTCACATTCAGTGAGCTTATGTGATACTGATAATTAAGTGTATGTAATAATTCATCATATTTTTATTTATTTATAAGAACTGACTTGTAATTATGGTTTTAAGTTTTTAATTGAAATAAGACAATGGAAACTAGTTGTCGATTTATTTAACGTTTGATAAAAATACAATTTAGTACTGAAATTTGTATGCATTTCTTTTCTTCATTTAAATACGACAAAACAGGCAGTTCTTATATTTTTTCTTACCTAAGGGGTAAAAGTATACAACAAAATGGTCTATGGGGATTACGCTAAATAGGCGATCACATCGCAAATACATTAGTTATACCCAAGAAAGTCAGTCTCATCAACTACTCCATTATAAATAATAAATTGAAGTTGAAAATGTACACAGCTCTTAATTTACAGTAGACAAATCAAGGTTGAATTATAAAGCGGAAATATTCGTAAAAGTAATGTTGAGTATAACAACGAGAGTGACTTTATTTAATTAATTAATTAAAAAGAAAAAATAACAGGTCCTGATAATTTGGTTTTTATCTACCTCAAAAAAGAACGTCTTTATACATTTTCTTGCCTAAAAATTACTAATAAACTAACTAAAAAAATGAACTTTTTGCATTTTTACAGGTAATATGTTATTAATATATTATTTACAAACAGCGTGTTAGCTAAAAATCCAAATTACCAGAACGTCAATGTTTGAACAGTCACAGTTAAATGCCTAATTTTAGGGAATTATTTTAGCTCAATCACAGCTGAACAATAATTCATTTTTTGTAGCAAAAGGGTTGCAAAAAGTACAGCAAGCGATCCTCTGAATCTGTCTCAATGTCCAGCAGTTAAAAAAAGAATTACATACAAACAACACAATTAAAGCATTCAGAAGAGTACGTTACAAAAATTAATAGATAATAATAATTACATAATTAATAATGTCGTCGCTGTACTTTATTCAACTAAATGATGCCCTAACTAACCCATTTGTACAAATAATAATTCTACATACAGTATCGATAATAATAACAGAAATGTATTTAGTTATTAATCGATAACGAAACCATACATAACAAGAATGGCAGTGATAAAGAAATTTGGCAGTCGAGAAACACCTTTTCAATTAATAATTATTAAACGAAGGCAGTTTGTGCTGCTGGCTGCTACTGCTGCTGCTGTTGCTGTTTTTGTTGTTGTTGTTGTTGTTGTAATGGCCTGTACACGGCCCCGTCAATCAAACCCCAAATAAAACAATAATCAAGCCCATAAAAAAAGTCCACCAATTTTGATCAAAATTACGTAATTTTTCGTAGACATTACTACACCAAACATCAATTAATTAATCTACGACGACATCGTACATGAACCACTCTTAATCCCTCGCCACATCGTAGCCACCCACCACCTGTTCGTACTTTACTTTACTTACAAAGTCACAACAACAACGTGTAGCACGACTGCAGCGGTGACTGTGATCCTCACGTGCCCCCACGACGTACCGTCGACGGTAGCTCTCGATCAGGTCATTCCATTACTAGGTCCCTCCCATTCTATCAGGTATTGTATTCTCCCGCAAGGCCCCACACGTTTAGCTTTGACGGCAAACCGTTCGCCCGCTGCAATCCTGTTGGCAGCTCCGAAATAAATATTCACGGAACTCTTCAAATCGTCCATGTCTATGTCGGGCTCCTGTTTAACGGGACTAGGTTTGGGGGTAGGCGGATTGGAAGAGGTGGAACTAGGGACTTTTTCCTTTTCGTTTTTGTCCTGGCGCTGTCGAAGTCGACGTCCGTTCAGAGCGTAGTCCACGCAACTGGAAATTTGGGACGACGATGATGTGTTAGTCGTTGTTTGCTGTTGGAGACTAGATCGTAGGCTGCGTTGATCTGGACGAGCGGGGACTACCGTAGCCGTTTTGCTTGCAGTGGGCTGTCCCGTTGCCGTGTACATGGCCATTTGCCCGACACGTCCCCTTCGCAAGCGACGCCTTTTAACCTCCCCATTCGGGCCTATACATATGTCCTTTTCGCTCAGTTGGCGTTTCATAGGGCGAATTACTGGAGTCCCGGGTATAACAGCAGTCAGAGGTAAGGGTAATGTGATAGCATCCTTGCTGCGTCGTTTTTTGCCTCTAAACGCGCTGCCGTCGTCTCCTGTACCTCTTAGAAGCGTCAAAAACGGATTGTTCTTGCCTTTAAAGTCCTTCGGGGGCGGTATTATCAAGTCTAATGTGCTCTTTGACGACGTTTCATCACCGGATGTGTCGCAAGGCGTGTTTGGAAATTCTAAGGAGTTGGTAGGATCTACCAATTTTTCAGCTTGATCTTGAATGACTGACGGCGGTGTAGGAGGCGCCGAAACAGACGTGGGAGGCGTCGGAGGTAAAATTGCAGTTTTGTCTTGTTCTTCTTTCACCTCCGGCGGCTTTGCTTTCTGTTTACGGAGCAACTTCTCCCGTTCCCGATTCATACTGTTCAGGAATTGTTTGCGACGTTGGAGACTGATTTTCGGGAACGGGACGCTCTTCTTCGCGCATCCGGCCCCATGAAACTCGTTTTTAATATACAATTTCGAATTCATTTCGAGTCTATTTTCTTCTGCTAAGTCGGCGTCTGGACTAGGGCATGGGGATTCCGTCTCTGACAGGGCGCTGCTCTCTTGATATGCGGTACCCATCATGATATTGAGCATGTGATTATCGACGGGGATGATCATTTTAGTGTCGTTGGCTTTGAAAAGCGGTAAAAACTGCAACTTTCTGTTCCCTTGCCATCGTTCTCTAAGTTCCTGCTCGCAAACAGGCCCTGTCGGTGGTAGAGTTACGCAAGGGGCCGGGGGCGGAAGTCGTACCCTTAAACCCCATATTGTCGTCCTCTTCTTGATTTCACGGCCACATTTGAAACGAATCCTATTGTTTGTAAGCACCGACAAAATATTTTCTCTCCTTTCTACCTTCGATACATTGTAAATCTGAAACAATAACAAAATTATGAAATCATATTTATCATGTTTTTTATTTATTTATGTATTAACTGTTTCTCTTGTAAGCCACGTACAAGTGTTATTAGCAAACCTAATGTAAAATAACTATTACATTTTCATCTGCAAACGGTTTAAAATTTAATCTTCCAACACTATTAATTACTTTTATTCATGTAAAACTAAAGGACTTATTGCCTCGATTATCAATTTTCTTAATAAAAAAATAAATGTTGCAGTAAACCTTTGGTGGTAGTTGTAAAGCATGCCAATTATCGTTTATGTATGGAATGATAACAGTGTCGAGGTCGTAATACTTCTTAGAATGGTAAGCAGTCAAGTTAAAGACCATCAGATGCACCAGGTCGACCCATTTCAGCTCTAACCGACGAAGGAACTCTTTTCCATAATTACAAATAGCACACACAAATACGTAGAACCTAGAAATAAAAGCAACTTTATTATCTACTCTCTGGGAGATTACAGAAAATAAGATCTAACCTATCACCACAGTAAAGAGGATACTGAAGGCATCGAACGCACTTCTCATGGAACCATTGTCGACACCGACCACACTGCAGCATTTGGGTATACCATTCTCCATTCTGGCCACAATAACAATAAATTTGTTCCATATTGACTCGGTGATAAGCGTCCCAATTTAAAGCGTACGGCTGAAAATATTTTTAAATAAAAAAGGGAATTGTTTCTTTTCTTCAACTGTATCTGACTAGATTGGTTTATTTTATAATTCATATTATTCAGTAACTCTACAATATTACTCAAATTTATGTAAAAATAACTTGATTTAATTATAATTATTTCGACGTTTTCCTTTAGTTTAATAATGTAGTGTGACCTACTAAATACCTATGTATTACTTTTCTAGACATTGTATGGGGCTTTCCCCTTTGAAAAATATAATAATAAAAGTAACAACAATTAGGACTCACGTCATAGGGAAACGAAGTGGGAAGTAAGGAGGATGTGGAGTTGTCAATTCCTGAGCAAATCTTACGGATGGAATCCTTACGCAGCTGCTTGTACTCGGCGTTTCTCCGTTGCCTATGGGGCTCACTCTCCATACACCTTCTACACATCCAACTCGTTCCTAAGTTTTATTTTATGATTAATGGCAGCAGCATTAAGTTGATATTCAAATATAAATTACAGTAACATAATAAACACAAATAAAAGAACTATATAAAAACAAGAGTGAATTACCTTCTTTAAGGCAAATGGTTGGGATCTCAGGCTGGTGACAGCGTTGATGGTAACCGCGGCCACACTTATCACAGACAGAGATCTCATGCTTGTCCTTTGGTGCAGATTTTTTACAGACAACACACAGCAGGTCCTCTTGTTCAGGTGTGCTAAGTTTGGTCAGGTCCTTGACACTGGACCAGTTCTCTGTGTTGTCTCCAAATTTCACTAAACACTGTTCTCTAATACTATCAACTTCTACCACAGTCCCCAGGTAGTACCTGCCATCCTTGTGTTTTAAAAGAACATCTTGCCCAGGACTGAATCCTACCCTCTCCTTCTCCACACTGGTTGTCGAGTCTGGTACAGCAGCCTCTTCAGTCTCAACCAAAGACCTTTTGCTCCGCGTGTTTTGTAATGCCGCAGATGTAACAGTCGAAGTCATTTTGGGGTTCGTATGATCGGAGACGTCTTGTCAAAGCTCTCACCTAATGTAAAATGTAATGAAGATATGTAAATACTTCGGAAGCCCGATAATGACTTAGCCAATATTAATAAGACTTTCCAAATCATTATACAAAGAAATTGTTTTTATATTAAACTCTTATGTCACTGTCAACATAAACACGGTAACAACTGCGAGTTCCCACCCTATACGATCCAAAAATCGGCCATTTAACAATTTTTAGAAGAGACAAAAACATCGTTTACAAACGTTTATGGTCTAGTCTAAATAATACAACTAATTATTTTTAAGGAATACCTTTGAAAGTATCGTCTCCTCTCAACACGTAAGTCCATTCAGTATGATTACATTTGCGGCCATTAGAACAACTGTTTGTGTGATCCCGCCAAAGAGGCACCTACGGATTTTTCTTTCATTTATTCAATTTTTCGATAGGGATTCTTGTAAATTATCATCTCTAAAGCAAGATAGCTTAACAAATCGCCCGAAATCGAAAGTTTTCATTCACTATTATAACTTTTATTTAAAAATATTTCAAAATCTTAACGAATTAAAGACTTTGTAGGTGGCGTTACCAACAGCATTCAGTGTTTTTACCAAATAACCCAGATTAAAAACAAAAACTTGACAAATCAAAATCACTAAATATTTGCAACATTTAGGAAGTACTCGCTAACATAAGCTGAATTAAATCAGTTAGATATCAGCTATTTATATCAAATGTTTTACAGGCAAGAAAATAGGTAAAATGCGTTCCAAGTGCACACATTTAGTATTCAAAATAATTTACTATGATAAATCCTGCAAAAATTGCATTTAACCAAGATTATTCCTAAGAGTTACTAATATGTGCATACTTACAAATTATTACACGATTTCCCAGTTGAAATGGATAATCAGGCCTATATGGGGTCCACAAAGTAATGTAAACAATACTTACATAATTAATGAACAGTTGAAATCAAATTAAGTTTATTTTACAGACTTTATTTTGCAAACATTTCTATCTTATATAAAGTTTATTACGAACACACAAAAATTAAAAACTGTTTGTTTTTTACTTATCAAACACCTCTCTATATTAATTTTGTTTAATAAAAGTAATTGAATTAACGACTCTCGATTAAAATTAATAATCGTTTTGTTCTTTTTTATCTTATTTTACCCACCTGAAACGGACATAAACGTGTCGAACTTGTTTTTTGGTTTCTTCCCTTTAAATAAAACGAAAGGCTTTTGAAAAGTAAAAAACAAACTGTTTTATTTATAATTTACAATAATACATTATAAATTAACTTCATGGTAATATTAATAATAATAATAATAACAATGCAAGTTTGTGTTCAGTGTTTTTATTATTTCTAAACATCACTATATTC